GAGACATGGAAAAAGAGCCTTCTTTTGAGCTACTAATATTTACAATTGATGAATTGAAAATGTTGGGGGTGGCCAGACACCGGCTAGTCCCCACTAGCTCCGCCACTGACAACACTACTGGAAAAAGGTTAATACAATACACAATAATATAAAATGGATGTAATAAAACCCGTACTAGAAAGGGATGTAGGTTTCTAATTATAGGTGTATTTATATGATTCATATGCCATTAAACATATTTAATTAATTTTAATATTTTATTTTTCGTATCATTCATTCTTTTTGGTGTAATCAAATGGGCAAAAGGAACAAAGTCCTCGTCTTTTCATCTCACCGCTACATTCTCCAAGCTACCACTCCTTTCCTCCTCCCGAGGACCGCCGCACCACCATCTCTTCTCCTCTCGACGATCACTTCACCATCATCTCCCCTCGCCTCGACGACTACTAGAGCACTGCCTCCTCCCTCTTTTTGAACAAACAGAAACCACCAGCACTTTCGCCTTAATAGAACGACTTTCATTTTTTTGGATTTCAGGTCGGGAAGTCGGGATGTATGATAAATTATTGGAATATGATCGAATATGTAAGCAGAAAAAGATCATATGTACCGCATTCATATCAAATGTATGGCAGATCGGATCGGAGATATGGTTGTCGTTTTGTTGTTACTCGGTCTTTGTTTTTATTTCATTATCCATCCTTTTCCTCAATGTCGATTCTAATTTTTGTCACTTACAACCATTTTCGTCTTGATTTTTGACCTAACTTGTGTTTCGGTTGTTTCATTCAGGATCAAACGATGAAAGGAAGCAAATCAAGCAGTGCTACGAGGAAAGCCGATACCAAGTACGATTTAATCTATACTATATTTCACAGATGCTATATGTTAGGGTTTAATGTTGTTTGTTTTACCTTCAATGAAATTAGGTTTTTGTTCTTCCCTAAGATCATGATTTTGGTGAAGTGATCGAGTTTCAACAAAGCTTTCTAAGTTCAATTTGCTATGAGTTTTATGGATATACTCCCTATGTTCGATAAGTAAATAAGGAAGAGGCTTCTAAACATTATTTCATTACTTCTTTTCAGACATATGGAGCATTCTAATTGGTGTATAGTCACTCTTCTAATGTGGTGGGCACATGCAAGTTCATTTACGTGTTGGTAGTTTGTATTGATGTTACATGCTTCTTGTTTCATTCTGAATTTTTTGAATTTTTACAGCCAAAACTCTATGTTGGAAGAGGCATGCATACGGACATCTTTTCTCTTTTCAAGTAAGGATATAAAGTTTATTTATGATTTGATAATGTGAAAATGCATGTTAGCAGCTATGAGTTACATGAGTTCTTTCCCAACAGTAATATCTAAAAACTTATATACAAACTTTGTTTAATTGTGATCTTATTAGATTAAGATCTGATTACTTATTTATTTGAGCATTTTGTAGTGACCTACAATATTGGCGTGGTTATTTATATCTGGGATCCAATTGTCATGATGAGTGATCTTGAAAATAATTACTTTTGTTTTGCCTTTATGAGGACAATTAAACATATGTAATGTAATTTTATATACTCTTTTGAGTTTTAATTAAATTACATCTATTTGTAGTTACTTGTGAGAGAAGATGCTTTGGCTGAGTTTAAAAGTGAACTTGTTGTAACAGACCTTGAAATTCAGGTTATGTCCATTAACTTAATTAAAAATGAATTTTGAGTTTAATTTAATATTTGTGTAACTATGTCTTTATCTTTGTAAAATTATGTTATATAATCTTCCATTCAGGGATTATTAAATATGACAAAAGAAATTGCTTGTTATGGCATTCCAGCAGATTCAAGAAAAATAAATGGAAAAAACATTCAATCTCTTCTTCTTTTACAATTACAAGGTATGATAATTTTATATATTTTATAGTATTTTACAAGGTTGTAAAAATCGTTCGGCGGTAGCTCGGCGGTCGACTGGCGATAAGCGATTAATCAGACTCGGCGGGGATTAAACGACGATTAATCGGGAACCCTAAATTATTAATAAAATTATTTAAAAAATTAATATTTCCTAAAAAATTAAGTATTTGGAAATTTTAAATATTAAAATTTTGAAATTTTAAAAATTTTAGTATAATATTTTAAAATTTGAAAGCTTAAAAATTTAAAATTTTAAAATTTTGGTGTAATATTTGTAAATTATTTTTTTTTTTTTTGAATTTTTTAAATATTTTCTGCCTATGACCGCCGAGGACCGCCAAGGACCGTCAAACTCGAGTTTGACCAATTTCCGCCAAACACCCTAATCGTAATCGGTTCGAGGCCGCCAAGCGATTAATCGGCCGCCAAGGCCGATTTCTGCAGCATTGGTATTTTATAACAATAACAAAATTACAAAACCATGTTTCTCATTGTTTTATTGCATAAAAAAGGTGTTCTAGAGGAGTTAAAGAAACAAATTAAAGAAGTGGAACTTGCACGTCAAAAGAGGTGTCATTGCACTGGTATGACATGACAGAGGTGTGTGTTATAATAATACAACAAATAATCTTTTTTCTTTATATCTTTTTAAATTTTTTATTTAAGTTCTCTTAACATATAATAATATAATATAAGTTAATAACTTTATTTTTTTTTGCCTTTTGGTTTTAAGAGTGTTCAAATGATTGGTGGAATCTATGTGCCCTTCATCCACTTGGGTGAGGTTAGTACGCATATATATTTAGTTTACCAAATATTGTAATAGACATATGAAATCATCATTATGTGTTGTTTGATCCTTAGACAAGGACACTTGGCATGCTAAATTCAAGATTTAAATGGGTTCCTTTAGCTTTCTGTGAACGCCTTGTGCCAATGCAAAAAGAAGAGCCTAAAAGATATCATAGATATTATCACACAAGATGTTATGAATAATGTGCGCAAGTAAGTCTTATTTTGGATTGACCTTTCAATATTTTGTTGTAAAATTCCTTTTTGTGTCCTTTTTTAGGATACTTGAAAGAGCTCACACTCATCATCCTGATAATGGAAGGAGAATGTATTTTTTGCCCTCTGGCACACACGATTTTGTTCTTATTATTCCCTTTTCTAATTTTCTTTTTGTGCCCCTAGGTGGTGAGGCTTTGTTTGCTTTTGACTGTCAAGGAATCTGCAGATAATGTGCCAAGAAATTTGGAGTATCACCTTATATATGAGAATGCTAAATGCTCCAACTGTTGGTAACATGGTCTCATATAGGTTAGTAATTTTCCAACTATTCACTTATTTCATTCATCATTGTCATTAAGATTAGATTTTGTTGGTTGTGTAAACTTTAGTGTTTTGACTCCATATGTTCTCTATTTAGAAGAAGAGCTTCACAAGGAAAATTAAGATGGATCTTCTCTAGGTGTCTGTTGATATTAGTTTTGATTGTTGGCCCCTTTATTTAGAATCAAAGAACGTTAGGTTTGTAATTGGATGTTGAATAGGGCTGGAATGTAAT